TTAAAGCTTCCTCTCCCACCTTTCCTTTCTATCCTTTGTAGGGACCCGAAGAACATAAAATTTTTACAATCGGATCCCACGGGTGATGTCAGTGATGGAAACTACTTTTTCGAGGCATCGACCTAGCAAACTCGGTATTGGGTCGGCACCGCATCGAAGAGCGAAATCTACTAAATAATTAAATAATTAAATAAAACAGAGAGAAAGTATGTATACTTAGAAACCCAAATCAAGAGAAAACCACATGTCTTTTTAGTCAGCACTATGCCAAGTTAAAGAACTTTTATTAATGTCGGTGGAGTTTATATATATATGAGTGTAGGAGCTCGGAGCCATTATTGGAGCTCCAAACTTGATGAAGAAGCTAACTAGTATGTGGAGTATGGGAATTGAGAAATTGGCCTCTCCTCCTTACGTACGTATGTCCCCCTATTTTATACTCCGTAATTGACAGGAATAATGTATTAGGACATAGGGTTCATGCTTCCATGTGAAGTTTACATGGCCTCCACCCGATGATGTCTCTTGTGCCCCACTCAATATCTTCATATCACTTCAAATATATATTCTTTTGTTCATATATATCTGGCTCTATCTTGAATAATTTATTTGATTTGTATTTTGGGCTGGACTGAATTGAGCTTACTTGTACTATTCAAATAATATTAGATTGGATAAAATCCCTAATCCATCAGTTTTAAATTTTACTCCATCCGCCGGTTAATTTCTTTCTAACTTTCCTTTTTAGACTGTCCAAAAATTTCTTTCACATTTCCTATTTTGGCTAAAAAAGTTTTGATGAATATGATATTATACCCCTACTTTTTCTTTATACTATTTATTTTATTCCATCACATCAAAGAAATTTTTCGACGGGGGAGTAAAATTGTAATTTTTAAATTTTTAATTTGTTTTTTTTAAAATTTTAATTTCTAAGTTTTAATTCTTAGTTTTAATTTTTAATCTTAGAGTTTAAATTTTAAATTTTAAATCTTTAAGACCTGAAGTCTATAAGTTACGTTTCATTGTTATGACATGAAAAGGATTCAGAAAATGCTATGTGAACCCCAGTTTTGTATACCAGGGGTACACCATATAAAAGGCCAACCCCCACCCCTTATCCCTCTCACCCACGTAGTCTCTCTCCCTCTCTCTTCCCGATCAGCAATCTTCTTCGCCGGTCAACAATTCTACTCCCCTTCGCCGCCTCACTCCGGTACCCAAAAGCTCGAGCCTTCATCGTCTTTCTCATCCTAGCATCTTCATCTTCCTTTTTCCCTCTGCGACGTCACCCTCCACTCCAAATCACCTCTGAGGACATTCACCTGCAACTTCACACTTCCGCTCCGGTAAATCAAATTTATATAGTTTTTGATATAAATCAAATTTTATTTTGTTCATTGTTAGATCTGATTTTGTTCATTGTTGGTGGAAATTTTGACTTTCAAATCCCATTTAGACAAAAATCAAATTTGATTTTTTTTCACAGATATGATTTTATTGATGCACTTTCCCAATTTCAGTTTTGTGTTGCAGCTTTAGGTAGTTATTTCATCTATGTATGTTGAATGGTTTGTGACAAGAGGTCTAGATTTTTTATCTACACTCTCACAGACACACTATGTTTGTAAAGAACATATTACAGACACGTAATGTCTATAACACATTTGACTGACACTAGTATGACCTAACAAATTTAGAATCCTTCCCAAAAGTTTACTAGTATTCCTCAAGAAGTATCCTTCAAGCTTACTCATCTCATTCTGAATTGGTGCAATAATTGAATATGCTCATTTGATTCCTATAGCTTCTAAAACGTGTTCCAAACAAAGTGAGATTTCTTAATTGTTTGTTTGTTAAGTTTTAGAGTTGGACTTATATTCCCTTGTGGTTGCTTTTGATGTAGAAGATTGGAAGTTGGAAGATTGGAGGTAGTTGTATTTGGGTTTTTACTATGTTAAGAACCTCATTTGGATTTCATTGAGGTTACCCAGACATTATGTGTCTTTGGTAAACAAGTACAGATATTTAGTGTATGTGAATTACTTACTCATAAATGAACATTGTTGATGACATTTATTTTTTCTAATAGATTGAGAAGAAGTGAAGAAGTGAAGAAGTCAAGGAGTGATGACATTTATTTTTTCTAGACTTATGTTCTTGGTTTAGCCAAGAAGTGAAGAAGTCGCCCTTTTCAACGGACCATGGCATCTTCCTCTTCGACTTCCAACTACCGTGTGAAGAAGGAGACAAGGAGACAATATGAATCAATTTCTTCCAATTTGAAGATGGTGAGGCCTGAGTTAGATCTACGTTATGGTATGATAAAGTGTGATTGTTTGCCTCAATCAAGAAATTGTGTAACTCGAGTTGTGACTGACCATGAGAAGCCAAACAAAGGTAGGCTTTTTTAATACTTGTGATCACTGTGGGTTTTTTCTTTGGTGTCATCCACTGAAGGCTGAATTTCGAGGTGAGCCACTGCCAATTGATAGCTTTGTAATGGGTCGGTTTGTTCGAAACTACGGAGAATTTGAGGAGGAGAGCTATTTACATGAGAATGCACGTGGAGCTCAAAACGAAGTGAATGCAGCTCTGCCCCGTGAGAATCATTGCAATAGGGGTGTGAATCTATATCAAACCATAAAGGTCCTTTGCAAGTTGGGTCTTGTTGTTGTTTTGGTTGCTCTTTTGAAGTAGGTTGATGTATTTAGTAGTGTTCTTGGGGCTGTGTAGTATTTTGAGTTGTTGATGTTCAAGTACTTATGTACCAATGTTGTATGACTTGTGTTGAGTGGATTGGTGAAATTTGTGTAATGGAAGATCATTGTTTTGTCATTGTTTTTTTATGGCTTGTATATTCAGTTTTATGGCTTGTCCTTGTATACCAATTTTTTTGTTTCTGCCTTTATGCAAAAACAAGTCATCACAATGTAGACACTGATGAAGACAAACAAGACACTAAGCTGAGTATTTCGTCCTGCTAAATGAAAACCAAGAAAAACCTGCACTTGCTAACTTGAAAACCTGCACAAGAAAAACATGTTACAATCAATGGCTCTTCTTCACATCACATGAACTGGTATTCTGGATTAAATGCAAGAGCCTCGAGGTAAATCAGCTCCTTCATTTGTTCCTCCGTGAGCGCGTGCTACTCAAAGTCGAAATCAGCTCCTTCATTTGTTCATCAAGACTATCACAGACACTAGTTATCTGTAATTTCAGTGACACAGACGGTACATGTCTATGTGATAGATAATTATACAGTAGTTTAGAAGACTAATAGTGTAAAAAAGAATCAGGCGAATTTGGTCACACAGACACTAAAAGTTTGTAATTATTCAAACACAGACATGTAATATATGTATTTAATGTATGAAAAGTGCACTTGTCAAATATACCAAATAATATTTCACAATTTTTTCTTGTATTTTAAAAATAAAGTAAATATGCAAAAAGTAATGTTTGGTCAAATAGACAATAAACGTTTATAATTCATTAAAAAATGTTTATTGTGTGTGTAACCTGTATAAAAACTAATCCAACAAATATACACATAATGAAGCATTAAGAACATTTCACAATTTTCTCTAGATTGTAAAAAAATAAAACAGCTATAATTACCACTGTTTAGTTACATAGACACTGAATATATGTAATTCTTGATACATAGACACTTATTATCTGTGTAACCTGGATGAAAATTTCACCCGTTAAATATGCAAAATAGTAGAGTATCAAGAACATTCACAAATTTAATTATGTTTAAAACAACAGAAAAAACAACAATCAATGTTGTTTAGTTACACAGACACTAAAATTCTGTAATTGTTTTAACAAAGACATTTACTGTCTGTGTACTTTGAGTGAAAATATCACCACCATCTCTGTTAAAATCAACTGCTCAGGCGACATTGTTGAAGACCAAGAAAGTTGAGTTGACGATCATAGAGGAGCGGGCGACGAGGGGGAAGCAGGTGGCAGCGAAAGAATTGAAGGCGTGGTTCGTCGCCCTACTCCGATCCAGAGCTCGGCGATGATGATGGCGCCGTTGTGACGCTTCTGGGCGGCTGCGGGGAGCCCACGCCGTACAACTTCAGGGGCGCCGAAGATGAAGCTAATCACCAGTGGGGAGGAAGAGAGATGCGAGATCTAGGGAGGAAGAGAGAATGAGCGAGAAAAGGAGATGATGAAAGCCTGGTGCTGCGTCGATCATCGGCAGGGAGGGAGGGAGTTGAGGGATCTGAGGAGGAAGAAAGAGTGAGGAGGAGAGATCTCTGAATGAGAGGGTATGGTTGGTTATGGAATGGGAGTGAGAGGGTGTATATGGTGTTCAATTGGGGTACAGCAAGTGGTGTACCCCTAGCAGGACCGAAAGGATTCACTTGTTTAATTTTGACTCGCAGAATGCGAATGGTTGGTTTCAATATATTTTTTTTATGTCATAGAATTTTAAATCTAGAATTGGTAAGTTTAGAATTTTAGTTAGTTTTTAAATATAAATAAAAGAAAAAAATTTAAAAAAATATTTTCTTTCCTACCAAACAACGAAAAATATGATTGAATAATTTTATTTTGAAATTATTTTTCTTTGAAAAATATTCTTCAAAGAAAATATTTTCTCCCTTAATACTTCTTAAATTCTATAGAAATCACCCTAAATATGATTAAAACATAGAGAAAGGTACCAAAATAGGACTTTCGTGTTTTTTTCCCATTTTCTCCCTTAATACTTCTTAAATTCTCTAGAGTATTTTGTAAGAAGTTACTTTTTGTTTGGAAGATGTGTGACTTTTAAGTTTTAACAACTGTCATGGGTTGAATAGCTGATGCCGCATTGGATCCGACGACGACCATTTCTCGCCTAAAAGAACCCCATCTCAAGTGCCTCTTCTCTGTCATCTGATCTTCATACACTTCGTCCATCACATTTTTTCTAGAGAGAGAGAGAGAATATATTGGAGAGCTTAATGGAGCGTATTAATGAAAGGAAACGCGATGTGCAGGGCTTCTTCAAGAAGGGTGGGAAGATCGTGAGTGGGTTTCGCAAATCAGTCAAAAAAGGGTTCAACAAGATGAAATTGAACTCCATGATTAATCATTCAAGAAACGGATCCAGACCCAGCAGCTGAGAATTGATCAAATATATGCAGATTTTCTTCTTTTTTTTTTCTTTTCCCGTTTCTTGAAAGCGTCTTCATGCATGTCTTGCTGTCTTGTATTGTTTCTTTTCTTTTTTTTTTTGGCGATTGATTTTTTTTATTTTTTATTTTTTATTTTTCTGATTTTTTTGGTTTCCAGTTGTGTTTCAATTATGCTCTATTTGGATCTGAAACAGTTATTTACAGTATTTGGCTTGAAAACGATACTGGGTTTTAAAATCAACAAGTTCACCTAGCATTTGGCATATTTAACCATAAACGGCGGATTGGACTAGTCAAACCACCAAATTAATTGTTTGGATAATGGCTTTTGGAATTGGCATTTAGAACCGAAATGCCAAAATTTGAAATGCCAACCCTAGCAGCATTTCATTTAGCAGTTCACCCCCTTTTCCGTTTCCTACCCTTTTCTCGGTGTTGCGTCTCTCTGCGATCCTCACGGCACCGGAATTGGTGTAGAGTATTTTTATATATTTATGGTATCATATTAAAAAATTATAAAATAAAATATATCATGCATGGTTGTTATTTGTAGAATGATAAATGAGAAAAAATACAAAACAAATATACTTATAAAATATAAATGTAAATTCTCATTTCTTAAATTAAAAAAAAAACAAAGTAGCCTTTTTTGTCCAACAAAAAAAATATGCAAAGCATTTTCTTTTATAATGTGGGTATTTTATCAAATTAAAAAAAATTAAAATCATACACACACTAACATAAATGGTGGGATGTCCTTATATGTAATTTTACCCACAAACAGCTAACTATAAACAACTAAGTTGCCAAACATCTAGTTTTAAACAGATAACAGAAACAGCCGGTCAAAACAGCTAACTCAATCAGCCAACATAAACAGCCAACGGCCAACTGCTAACTGTCATGTTCTAAACAAGGCCCATATCTCATTAAAATATTGGATGTTACTTGTTGGGAAATGACTTATGTTTTAGTCCTATTCAGTGCAAATTTCACATATTTTCGATTCAACTTAATAATATGGGTATGAAAGAATGAATGTAAATAAAATGTAAAGAAAATATATCAAAACAGGAATTTCATGTTTTTATTTCTGATATAAAAGTTAAAATGCATTTACATTACCAATCATATATAACCATATACATTATCAGAAAGTATAATAATATGCATGTGTGCAGTGTTACATTACTACAGTGTGAAATCCTATTTAGGGTATAAAAATATGAAATTTCTATTTTGGTAATTTCTATATGTTTTATTTCTATTTAAAATGATTTCATTAAATAAAATAATATTTATTTTTAAAAATACTCTGTAATTGTTACTTCCTCCGTTCTAAAAAAAACTTCATCTTTTAAATTTTTCATTTCCAACAAAATACTTTCACTTTCTAATAAAATCACTTTACACTTACTTTTTCCTTTCATACATATCACATCATACTTTTTCTCTAATAATCTATCTATCATATCTTACTTTTATTCATCATATCACGGACAAAATTGGAATTCAACTATAATTTAAGACTTCTTTATTTTTACACTTAGTCAAAATTGGAACTCTTTTTGAGAATGGAAGGAGTAAAAAGATATGGAGTAAAAAATACCAGTAAACATTTCAAAAAAAGGATAAAAAATAAATAAAAAATCAAAAAAATCAAGTTACAGAAAAATCTTCTGAGGAAGGTGACGATGAATTTATAGGAAAAATAGATGAAATTAGTATGAGCATGATTTTCGGCAATTCTATGACTTTGCCCGTCAATGTCCTGGAATGATCCGAGAGCGCACTAGTGCTCATTCGTAAAATTGACGGTTCCTAACCCCTAGTAAACCCTCACGCCGCTCCGACCTGAACACCTCTCACATCCTTCAATTGCATCTCAAGTAAATTTTGACTTTCGAGTCAATTTTGACTTTAAAGTCAAAATTAATTTAGGGGGCGCAATTGAAAGGGTTGGGAGTGTGTTAGATCGGGGTGGGGTGGGAAATGGGGGGGGGGATTACCAAAGGAGTCAGGGAGGTAAGAACCGTTAATTTTACGAACAGAGCACCGGAGCGCCTAGGTCATCCCATGACATGAGGTTCCAATGTCATGAGAACCCTACCGATTTTATAAAGATCTATTATGATTCAAGTTAAAATACTCTGTATAAAACTATTTATAATCTAAATTGATCCCATTATAATAAGAATAAATAAGAATGAATAAGAACAAAAAAATACTTCGTAAGAATAAATAATAACAATAGAATAACAGACTATATATAACGACGTGCATTACTGATAACAATAGGTTGGGGTTTGGTCTGGTGGTTGTTCATCCATTAATTCTATATCCATCACCTGATCCCTATCATCCGTTAGATACATCACTTAACATCTGATTCATTTATCATCTACGCACGAAACCGGTGATATAAGTAATACTTCGTAATTTTCTAATCATTAATCCAATGAAATGAAAAACTAACACAGAAAATTAAAAATCGTTGAGAAATAAGAGATTAATGATGTTTGTGATGAAATTTTTTAAAGAAATATTTTTCTAAGATACAAGAAATTTGCACTAAATATGATTAAAACATAAGCCATTTTCCAATGTAGGACTTAAACTTTTTTATTCCCTAAATATGACTAAATAATGACTAGTGAGAAGAATAATATCCAAATGATGCTGGACATTTAGTTAAATAATGACTAATAGATAATGATCAATGATCCTACATTGGAAAATAAAAACATATGGTCCTATATTGAGAAAGTCATTATGTTTTAGTCATATTTAGGTAAATTACTTTTTTATAAATAAAACTCCATCTATCTCAAATTAAATTAGATGTTAACCGTTCACATTGTCAAAGTGTATTCATATTTTTATTCCTCAATTTTTGTTATTCATTTTATAAATTATAACTCCATCCATCCATTCATCCATCTTTTTTTGTGCCGGTGGGCGTTGCGCATTTGGCATGGCAAGAGGTGCCAATGAGGTAAGACCTGCGTTCAATTATTGGTAATTGCGTTGGGAGGCAATTATGATAAGTATATGACATCTTTAAATACTAAGTACATGCTCTACTTTTTGCCACTAATATACAATTAAAATCTAATTTATTTTTTATTAGTGGTCATCCGATTCGGGGTGATGGACTCTACTAATGGGCTCATCTTTTTTATCCGATCTTTTTTCGTTAGGATTTTTATCCATCAAGGCGCGCAGTTTGTTTAACCCCAGAATTTACGGAGTAGTTAAGAACTCCGTTTGGTTCAAGTCAACCATTTCTTCTTGTTTCTTCAGATTTTCTGATTACTGCTCTCTTCCGAGTTCCGATACAATTCGGTGCGCGTGCGACAGATGCTGTGAACTCCGGCCGACTGCAAATCGTGATTTCAGGCTTCTTCGTTCCTATCTGGTGTGCTCTCTCCCGCCTGAATCGAAGCTTTTTTATGGAGTTATTGCAGGGTATGGTCGATTCATGGTCGCTTGCGTTGCTCTTTGAGATGCGTGGAGGTCTTGGCGCCGTGAAACGAATAGCCACTATGTCTACGGTTATACCGACTATACCTTGCACGCCTCGATGCTGCAAGTTTAGAGGTATCTGAAAAGCTTCGGTCTAGGGTTCGTTTTTCTAAATAATTCGTCTTGTTTCTATCTGCACTTTCCTTGTTATAAGTTGGAACGCTAAGAATTGGAGTTTTTTTTGACTGCTTCATGAGTTTCATCATCTAGAATAGTTGAAAATTTTACAATTCTGAGCGACATAAGGAGATTCAGAGGGGAAGAGGATTAATTTGTTGGAAATGATTTGCTTTCTAGTTGATTTGCTTTCCAGAAGTTGAAAACTGCTAGTGTGTCTGGTTAATGAAATTTGTGTGTTTGAGCTTGATGTGTCATAAACAATTTCATGAGTTCATGATATCTCAATTTGGACTTCGGATTGTGATTTCTTCTGCTGAGGGTTGGGATAAGAAATACATTAGCATCTAAATGTTTGATGGCGGGAGGTAAGGATCTAGGTCTTCCTAAGAGGAGTGGTTGTAGCTTGAAAGATCAATTAGCGAAGAAGACCTTGCATAATGTGAGGAAACAGGGGCACACATATGTTGAACTCAGGGAAGATGGGAAGAGATTTGTGTTTTTCTGTACCCTGTGTCTTTCGCCATGTTATAGTGATTCAATTTTATTTGATCACTTGAATGGTAATCTCCACACTGAAAGGCTAGCTGCTGCTAAAGTTACGTTGTTAAAACCCAACCCATGGCCTTTCAATGATGGTGTTCTTTTCTTTACTGTTCCAGAGCAAGATAAACCTTCTCCCGACTCAAATAGTGATCAAACTAAGGTTATAAGTATAGATTGGGACGATGATGATGATACTCTTGCTATTGTCAAACATGATAAAACCTTACTGCCTGATATCAGTGAGGATGCTGGAGATGCTGATTCTATGAAAAGTACCCCTTTTAGAACTGAAGGTAAACATCAGATTGTTATTCCAAGCGTGCTGTGTAGAGATAAGATATCCGAAGTGGTCGTGACACATATTGGTATTGGAAAAATCGCTGCAAGGGTCAGTGAGAAGGATGGGGTTTCAAATGGAGTGCATAGAATATGGTGCGAGTGGCTTGGGAATAAGGACTCATGTGATGAGGAGGAAATCATGGTTCCAGTTCATGAATTTGCTCTTGTCATTTTTCCCTACAATAACAGTTTGGGCAGGCAGAGCTTACTTGAGGAGCTGAGGTGTTTGCTTCCTCCTAGGTATCTTTTTGAGTCTGACAAAATTCACAATGCTAAAAGCATAAAGTGGAAATCATTTTCGGACCCTGAGGATGTCAGCGTCTCCTTAAGCAATCCGTGTGATTCTTCAGGTGAGGAATCTGAATCTTCAGGTTCAAGGATAGTGCTACATGACTCAGATGATCATTTACTGCATTCCAGAGCAGTTTCCAGTAAGACCTTAATGAGGCAATTGAGAAAAAAACATGAAGTATCATCTGTGAGAGTGTGTGGTATCTGCCAACAAAAACTGCTTCCTGGTAAAGATGTTGGCACACTAATGAACATGAACACTGGGAGACTTGTTTGCAGCAGTAGGAATATGACTGGAGTAAGACCTTTTCCGAATTCCTTTATACCTTATTTTGTTCTTCCTTCCAACATCTGGATTGTGACCTAACTGCACATTATGTTGACCACTTAAACTGTGTAAGATCCGCTATTCAGCATAAAATTTTAAGGACAAGTTTGTGCGGACTGCTTGCAGTGCAAACTGCAAGTCTTTTCTTTTTCTTATTATATTTCATGTGCAGGCATTTCATGTATACCATACTTCTTGCCTCATCCACTGGGTACTTCTTTGCGAATTGGAAATGCATAGGAACCAATCTGATGGACCTAAAGTGAAACAAAGATCTAGGAAAAAAGCTAAGCACAATCATAATGAAGAAATAAAGAATGGTGGTATCCGAATACATATTCCTTCAATCTTCTGTCCAGAATGTCAGGGTACAGGCACGATGATTGCCGAAGACAACTTGGAGAAACCAACTATTTCTTTGTCTCAGGTTTGCACATTGCAAAATTACTCCATCCAAAATTGATTTACATTTAAATGATTTTTTTTGTCCGAAAATAATTGTCCTCTAAGGACTTCAATGCATAATTTTTACTAATATTCTAAGTTTTCCCTTATTGAACTGAAATAATTGTCCCAACATTCAATGTTTTCGTAACTTGAAATTTAATGAAACACATCTAATTTTGAACTTAAATTAAAATAGAAGGGTCAATTTGTTAGATTCCCTAATTTTTAATATTTTGTGTGAACTTCTCTAAAACGTCATTTATTTTGGGACGATGGAGTATTATTTTTGCTGCTTTTTTTCCTTCATATAACTTCCTCTATCTTTTTGCACTCCAGTTACAATTTGTTGTCTCTACTAAATTTGTAACCTCTCTTTTGTCTCGTGTGTATCATATAACTGGAGGAGTTGTCTATCTCTTACCATGCAATTCCTTTCCCATTTCAGATGTATAGATTCAAAATCAAACTTACTGGCGCCCGCGAGGAGTGGATAAGAAGTCCTGAGACACTGAGCAACTGCTCAACAGGCTTTGCTTTCCCTCCCTTGTCTGATGATTTGTGTGAGGTTTGGGAACTTTTTATATTGATCAATACTCCCTCTTGTCCTTTTTACAAGGGTTTACCTAGGTCCTAGAAGTGTTGTCCTATATTTATAAGGGTTTTTGGTACTTGTGATGTGAACAAATACTTTTCTTCCCAAAATACCCTTCATTCATTTCAATATTTCTAACATTTTTTTTGTCTTTTTCTTAGGATAAAGTTTGTAAACACGTGAATTATTACTACTTAACAGATGTTTTGGTATTCGGTAAGTAGGTAGAAATCCCTCATAAACAGGACTTGAGGGAGTATGTTGTAAGAAAATAGGTAAGAGTCACTTCAATTGAGAAAGCCGGGAAAGCCATTGATGTTGATGCTTTTATGGTTGCTTGTCACCAGGAACATGTAACAGCATTGAAGTTGCTCCACTTTTATCGGGCGGATGGTTAAAGCGGATGCCGAGCTGTTTGGGATGTATAGAGTGTTGATGTGCGTGGGACTCCCTAGTAGTGATATTGCCTGTAAGTAGCTGTATATACCAACTTACCAAGTGCTTCAGAGTGGCATTTCTTCCTTAAGAAAAAAACATTGACAAGAAGCTTATGTACATTTGGTGTTTCTGGTCGGACGAAAATACAATTAGTATAGCTGGTTTGTACCTTGTGCTGGACATTTTTTTGGTGTCACTTTTATGATGGATATTTGCATCATTGGACTTGACATCTCATAGTTCCACTATCAGATAATAGCATGTGTGCGTGTGCGTGTGTGGGGGGGGATGGCATCTCTAATAAATGTGATGGTGATATGGCCTATATGGAACTCCATAATAAAGCCTTTCTAGAGCAAAGGAATCTCAAACGGATGGATATGATGAACTAGGACTTCGATCTTGAATCGACTCGCCTTTTTCCTAAGGCATCTGATTGGTATAATAAGACTAATGGGTTGACCCATCAATCTCTATTCCTCCGCGCACCCGGCATTAGGGAGTAGGGAAATGAGTTGTCCAAATTCCTCTGTGCTCTCCCAACGCTCTCGGTGCTTTCTTGGGTGACTTCGTTCATGAATCCCCTATGTGTCTACAGTTTCCTAGAGTGGGGTTGACGGGTTTTTCTATATGTCCCATGCACTTTGAGGTTTTTGATTGATACTTAGAATTGGGAGCGTGAAGGCTAACTCCCTCTGGGCCGACAAGCTTCGGAAGGGCTGTCCACAAATGGGAAAGATTGGATCTTTCAATCTCTCGTATTCCACTTCAGAGACTTTTTTGGCTCAACTCTTGGGAGAGACTTTCACCTCATACGGCTCTGTCTCGAGCTTCCGTCGTTGGCCTTGGCATTAGACCACTCTCTATGCATGAATTTTTAGTTTTGCAAGTATGTTGGGTCACTTGGGTGTATCATTCATATAAGTGTTGTGTGTGCATTCCAAAAGTCTACCAATCATGCTACCTTGACACTAATTTGGATGACACTGAAGTCATATTGTTTTTTATTTAATCTTCTCATACTTTTCATGAGTCTTTTAGTTCAACCACAAAATATTACTTTGATACTCGTATATAAAATTTATTGAGATATTGATTCTAAGTAAAATCAATATCTTAAGGTTTAGAAGTGGCTCGTCCGTAGGGGGATGCGATTATGAAGTGGTATAGAAATCTGAATTAACGGTCCGAAAATCATATTGAAGTCAAAATTGAAATTGTTAAATTAGGGAAGCAAACCCAAAAATGGAAATGTGGTCCTAATTCTTATGCTCCTGTCGTTCATTAAGAGTCGCATTTTACTTTTTGGGACATTCTAAAAAAATTCTTTCTATTTTTGTAAAAGTTCTTGTGACTTTATCTTTCATTAGTATTACTTTCAATCACACAATTTTATTTATCTTAATATTTGTTTAGAACCAAATGTGGACTATTGATTTGTAATGAAAGAAGTATTTTTTAATTAAATCTGACAATTGTGATTTTGATTCCCAGTTCCATTTTTTGTTCAATTGTTGATGAATTTAAATCTAACATGAAAGGTAGATATAAAACTGTATAAATATTAAGAATAAAATTTTGTCTTTGAGGAAAGAAAACATTTATAGATGCAAGGATGTCATTAATAGTGTCATATTGTCATCCCATGTGGAAGTCACATTGAAAGTGTCATCTCCAATCTCTAAAATTGTTCTTCACTTTTAGGTTGAGTCAACCAAACTCATTTGAAGAAGGTATTCATTCTCTAACCAAATGTGTAAATTTCAATAGCATGAACCTAGATACAAATATTAATACGAAATAGACCGGATATATTAAGCCTAATTACTATACACCGTTGGACCAATTCAATAACCTATCATAACCTTAATTCAAATAAGCAATATATGAAATTATAATTTTCAAACTAAGAGTCTTTCAAAATTTAAAAATACTATCTAATCAGAGAACATGAGAATTTGAGTCTACTTGGAACTTGAGTCAAATTTACTAGGAGTGCACATGAGAATTTGATGTTGAGTAAGGCAGAAATTATCAAAATCAAATCAAAAACAATCTAATCAATATCAGTATGTGATGATTTCTTGTGCTTGAAAATACATAGATTAATTTAAAATGATGAGAGTATCCTTCTAAAATCTTAAGGAGAAATCAAAGAAGCTAAGAGTAATGTGTCAGACAAATCTAACATATAAAAATAAAGAAACAGAAAATCTATCCAATAGAAGCCAATCCAAAGGAATCCCAAATGCTCAAATCTTCAACAACACTCACTGCTCTCAAATCAAGAAGAAAACGCTCGCGGGAGTGTATTTGGGTAGGGACGATCGGCATGGAAAAAAGGAGACCTAAACCAGCGTCTGAATGAACTGAAGAATTTCACAAAAAGAAACCGATCACCTCTCTCTATCAGAGCGTCTTCTTTCATTACTTGCAATGCCCACCACCTGTTTGATCACACGCCCAACCTTTTCGTCTTATCTTCTTCACAACCCGAAGTTCCATTCTTTGCCCTCAGCCTCTTCAACTTCTTTTCCTTCATTTTTGTGTAGCTTAAAGCCCAGGAGGCTCCACATATTGAGACCATGTTCGTCTCTCAAAGAAACCAAGAAGCAGCAGACTCCTTCCCAGACTCCCTCCAGCGCTCCCCAGAGGTTCAGAAGTCTCTTCAATCTCGGTCCCAAAGAAGAGGATGATGTTACTAAGAGTGGTGATGGGAAGAGCTTGGACGAGGGCGCTGCCATGAAAGGCACGATTTTGGCTGGACTTTTACTTTTAGTTGGTATTGGTGGATTTGCGGCTGCGAGTTACCTCTACAAAGACCAGATTAGTGATCTCTTGAACCAGTTGACTGTCTTCATCGAAGGTATATTTATTGACGCTTCCAGTTACAATGCAAGCGTGATTCTGTATGTCCGTGTCACTGTTTTTTGTGTGTCCTTGTTGCCCGAAATCTTCAACTCTCATTGCTCCATGTTTGCATGGTCCATGGAACGGGACGTTTGTGAACTTAAGTGAATTAAGTGATTTTGATGCAGCCTGAGAACGGGACGTTTGTGAACTTTTCTTTCCCCTTTAAAAGTAGTAAGGTGATAATGAATCAATGATAAAGTTTGTATGATGGATTTTTCTGAGAGTGCTGTAATTTCTTGTCATTGCTGCTATGCTGTTGGTTAAGGGTTAAACTTATGTCACAGGGTAATGGCTATAATGTTTTGCAATGGTTTTGCGATCTTATTTTCCGCTGTTTTTCGGTACATATCAGTAAAGGTGATCATAAACGACTAAAATAAAATGAATAATTTAACTAAATCAAATAGCATATTAAACATTTGACTAAGCTAATTTAGAATATCCTCTATCTTCAAGGCATAAGTGTCATTCATCTTGTGGGTTCAATTTGCAATTAATATTCAGAAAATATGTGTCATGTGAAGTTTGCCTTAAGAGATCTGGATTCTTGTGACATTGAATTCAATTTGATGTTAGTGTGGAAACTAAATGCACGGTTGTTATTATATGAAATAAATCTAAATTGTGGTGCAATTAGAATTTATGGCCCTTGATAACTCTCAAGTTTATTCACTTTGAGTTTAAAAATTGATTAAGATGAGATAAAGGTTTGAATAAATTGGAGGACAAGCATAAGTTTAAAATGTGCATCATCTGCTTGTTTTTCATGATTCATGATTATAGATAGTATACAAACGTATCCTTCCAACTAAAATGATACTCTCTGTTTTTCTTTGTAAATTTACCAAGACATCTGTATTAAATCTTGTGGGTTAAATGATTGTTATCTTCANGGGGGGGGGAGGTACCTAACCAGGACGAAAACATGCTTCATATACGAAAATAGGACCTTCAAGATTTTTATACCAAAGTAGAACTTAAAAGATTTGTAGTGCCATATAATGTCAGAACATAATGCCAAAAAACACTGAAATGCCAACAAATAATGTCAAATTGAAGGTGTTTCACAGTGCCAAGACTCCCTAGACTCCTATTTAGGGATAAAGCACAGGAGGTCTTATTTAGTATAAGTCTCATGTTTTAGTCTTATTTAGATAGATTTCTTTTAAAGTAGATGGAATGATTATCATTATGTACTCAGGTTTAATTTTATCAAAACTTCCATTATGGCATTTCAAGTTCACAACCCCTCAAATACTCTATAAGAAACTGAAATCCTCGAGAGCTTTAGGATAATGCTGTTTTTTTTAATTAGTGTGAACTGTATATGCAAAATAAAATGACCCCTTACTAAAATGGTCAATTGAACCATATCACCCAGGCTCCCAAAGTAAACAAGCCCTTAATTTAGAGCTGCAGAAGCATTAGATTCTTAAAAAAAGTGTATGAAACATTGGAAATTCTTTGCTACATTGCTCATTTTCCTTGAAAGGTTTTTTGTTTTTCCTTGAGCATCTCTATGACTTGCCACATTCCAGGTCATGGGCCAGCTGGATATGCACTCTTTGTTGTGGTTTATGCTGCATTGGAAGTAAGATTCACTTATTCATTATACGCTTAATTGTTTAGAGTACAGCTCATATATTATGTTAATATAATTAGCTTTGTGAAAATTTATAATTTTGATATATTATGTTGCTATATGTTTCTCTCATCTCTTGCTAGCAGGTCCTTCATATACGAGGCCTATGCTCTTAAGATACTGGTAAATGCCAGTTATCTTAAGAATACCAGTAAAATCAGGAAGTGTAGAAGTAGTAATATTCATATGGCCATGAGAGATACTGCTGGAAAATATTACATTGGATTTAGAGATCCTATCATTTGGCTAATTCTATAATTTCACTGGCATTTTTGTCTAGATCCTTGCAATACCGGCTATTCCATTAACCCTCACTGCTGGCCTTCTGTTTGGTTCTCTCACTGGAACCATTATTGTCTCTATCAGTGGAACAGTAAGCTGCTGAATTACTTGTATAAATTGTTTAGGGTCAGCTTGGATGGAGGTTTGGAGGGGAAGGATTTGGAGAGCTAATTCAATATACTCCCTTCATCCCAAAGTAATTTGTCCATTTCAAATTTTCAACTTCAAAAATATCAAGAAAAGTGTTGATAAAATGTTGAAAAAATGTAGATAAGTGAAAATGGGTGGTTAGAGTTTATTTAGAAGAGAAATATTCAGGACCACATATTCTATTCCAAATAGGAAAGAGAAAATATGAGTAACTTATTTTGGGACAGATGAAAAAGGAAAGTGGGTAAATTATTCTAGGACGAGAAAGTATTTGATAATTATAATGTTTATGAAACGGATTGTATGATAACCTATTATGGTATTTCTTCATTTTTACAAAATCTTAACACTATGCTTGGTTAAGAAATTAGGAAAGAAAAGAAAGAAAATGGTTTTCTCTCAATTTCCTCACCAAAATTGGAGGAATTTTGATTTCCCTCTACTTACTTCATTTTGTCTTCTCTTTTTCTTTTCCTTCCACTTTTCGTTTCTTTCCTTCTCTAACCAAACAAGAAAAATTGTTTTCCATATCATTTTCTTTTCTTTTCCCTATCTAATTCCTTGAACCAAACATAGTATAAATATATATCAGGATATGGACTTAGCCTTCCAAAACCTTCCATCCAAGCTAATTCTTAACAAACTTATTTTGATTACCTTAAATGCGTCAATTCCATCCATTTCTTTCAGATGGCTGCAAGCGTTGCATTTCTGATTGCCAGATATTTTGCTCGTGATAGCATTCTCAAATTAGTTGAAGGGAACACGAAATTTCTTGCCATTGACAGAGCTATTGGTGAAAATGGTTTTAAAATTGTCACTCTTCTCCGCTTGAGCCCTTTGCTTCCATTTTCTCTTGGGAATTATTTGTATGGGCTTACTTCTGTTGAGTTTGTGCCATATGTTTTGGGAAGGTCTGTCTCATATTTTATTCTCATGCCTTAAAAGCGTGTAGTTCTGTATAGCAATCCCTCTCTCAACTTGCTCTGGAACTAAGCAACATATCATGTTCATTGCCATTCTAAGCTTACAATGTCATTTGTTTAAACACAGGTTTCATCTTAATGTGGCTGCATCAAGTTTTTAAAATTTTGGAAAAGGTGTCTGCTGCTGATTTATTCAGTGGCATGTTCATAGCCTTGTCATTGAGTTGGGTTTAGACTCAGTTCAAATCCGGACTTTTAAGTTACTTTGCGGGTATAGGGTAGACTTCATTTTGTTTACCCGCCCTGGATCCCGTCTCATGCTAAAAATTTTGAAATGGATCTGGGTTTGAAGCACTCTATTCCGGACCCAACTGCACCCAGCCGATGATATAAATGATTACTGATTTTAAAATTCGCAATGAGATTATGGAAATAAAAAAATGTGTTTACTCTTCAAATTGTTTGGTTTGAAAGTTGATATTTATAATTAAACTAAATTATTGTGTAACATAGTATGAGAATTAGTATTTCCTAATTTGGTTATTGGAGTAACATTTATGTGTAGCATTTAACTTTCCAAAAAATGTTTGTGTTAGAATAATTATAATTAATTCAAAAATAAATAATAATTTCAATTTTTTCTAGACCAAAACATTGAGTATGTAAGAGCTTTGATATTATAAGAAAGTATAGCTATTTATGTCACATGCAAATCCAATTTAAATTTGAGTTCGGATTTAATGATTAAAAGCTATTAGCCACCTAGACCCGGATTCAAATCCGACCCTATCAGGATTCAAACAGGTCCGGGTCTTGTAAGACAAACAGTAGACCTGTTTGGTCTTGGGTACGGTCAGGATCTGTTTTTCAAATGGGTACGAGTTAGAACTATCAGTTGTGACCTAAATCTGACCCATCTATAGGCCTTCATGTTATTTCACGATTCAGAACATAGCAGGCTCTAAGCTGACAATATTTTTTCTTGTGTTCCTTTCCTCCAAGATTTTAAGGTAAAGAGTGAAATATTTCTGTTGTTGCAGCCTTAAACATTTATTAGGAGAATGCCATCCACAGAGGTTCTTTAAGACATCCGGTTAGGGTATTAAATTCATTGTAGAGTTTGTAAGCAAGTGTTTTTGGCTCTCTTGGGCCTGCAATCAGGTGTGCATTAGTTGCATGTTTTCTAGCACTTGTTTTTCATGTTTTCTTGCTTTCTTATTTACCCTTTTATCCTTCTTTTTTTTGTTTTTTCTTTTTTCTTTTTTGTTTTTTGTTCTTTTTTGGTTTCTTTCATGCTTTTTAACAATGTTCACCGGACCTTTAACTGCTTGACAAGGTCTTTATGGGAACATTCTCTCCATTCTTAGGGTGGTAAGGTTTCAGGTTTGTGTACATCTCACTCTCGCAAGACCCTACTACTTCTGTGTAGGATATATTGGGTATGTTTTGTTTAGTTTTCAAATCCCCAGTTCTTAGAAAACTAGAGGTAAGTAAATGTATGCTACTTCAAGGTTCAATTGTGTATGCCATCTTTTTAGTGGTTACCATTTTTTTCTTGTTGAATCACTCAAATATTCTCTTTTATACATGCAGTTGGCTAGGTATGTTACCTGGAACATGGGCTTATGTGAGTGCAGGTGCATTGGGCCGCGCAATTATCGTGAGTAATTGCTTTGTTTTTCCATGCATTGATGTTTGAAGGCCATTTCTTGCATTTTTGGCTAATTTACTTCCTATGCATGCAAGGCATTTTCTTTTGGTATGAGATTGCGAGTGATTGCACTTATTGCTGTTTCCTCCTTAGACCTCACTTTAGTGCTAGGATTTGCTTTTGTCCCTTTGTTGTTTCCTCCTTAGATCTCACTTTAGGACCCGGTCTTCTGCGATTTATTTGTCAAAAAATTGTTTCCCCTTGACCCTTTCTTATCCTCTTATTTTCATTTTTTTCGTTCTTCTCAAAATCATATTCTTTGTTCTTTTAAGGATTCTGTGATTGATATTGTTTTTCTCACCTAAATAAAATCTTCGGAGAAATCACACGCTTTTCACTTTCTTAAAAACGTGAAAAGTTAATATGAGGGGTTAAATAAGAGATGAATGGAGTCTCTGGTTTGGTCCAATCTTTTTTTCTTTGTCCAGTTCGCTCTAGTTTGACTAAAATGAGATTAAGTTATAAAACATACATCGAAGCGAACATCAGTGAGCATCTAGTCCCACTCCACTTAGATCCCCTGCCTAACCAATATTAATCCTCGGCAAGGAACTAGGTCCAAGCCTACCACATGCTATTCTTATGACATTGGTATTGTATCTCACTAGGAATGTGAACCACATGTTTCTGAAGTAAACAAGTAATATTGCTACCGTACATCATTTTAGACAGTACCATAAATTTCATTCCATGAACCACAACTTATGATGATATTTTGAGCATTTCCAGCAAGATGGATCTGTGAGTGCTCTCGGCGGAGGAAACGGTGTATTGACACTTGGATTTGGTCTTCTGTTTACTGTAGTAGCCGCAGCTTATGTGACACGGCTCGCTAAGGTAAAACTAGCCCATACTTCGTTCCTTACTCGCATGCTAAAAACGCTTTGCATTATGTCTTAGTTCAAATCTCAGTTGTTTTTTTTACTTTGTGCTGATGTATGAGGCAGGATGCAATGAAGGATATCGAGTAGAGAATGTCAAAATCATTTCTGCTAATTATTTATGGTACACATTCCACATTAGCTTTATGCTCTTTCAATCTGTTCACGTCACCGGCTTACCGTGCTTACTTTGTCTGGGTTTCTATGTTTGAGCCAAGGGTCTCTTACAGCCTCTCTACTACCAAATAGGGCTAGGCTCAGTTCAAACACCCTTCCCATACCCTACTACTTGCGGGACTTTATTGGGTTTGTTGTTGGACTGTCTGTGTGAAACAAAGTGCATTGTTGATCATTTTTTAGTAGAAAACAACCTGTTATACATTCCCATTAGTGGAAGTAACACTTGAGTTCTGTTGTTTAGGGGTTGAACCATCAAATGAACACGATAGGTTCCGCCGGACCATGAAATGATCAAATTTGTATCGAAAGGAATTGATTATGTGAACCCGTCCCACACGAGTCAAGCGGATCTGTAAGTGGGTATATGCATCTATAGAGAGAGAGAGAGAGAGAGAGAGAGGGAGATAGCAAAGTGGCATTACTCTTTTTTGTCTGTTGCTCCATGTGAGATATGATATGACAGTCTTCCTTTGGTAAGCTTCGAAATTGCTCATTTTTAAAGCTTTTGTGTGGTGGATGTAAATTACTCCCTATGCAATATCAGTGCTCTATATTGCTATCTAGTAGATAGAGTTTTGATTGTGATATTCATTTTTTTTTGGGTAGAAATGTTTCATAGGGACCAACAATAAGTAAGAAGGATTTTATTCCCTAGGCTTAGATTGATTCAATCTAATTTGAGACCTATGTATTGCTTATGGAATAATTGATTCTTTATCTTATTGTTATGTTTGTCCCATGCATGAACTTAATATTTTGATCCAATATTTTAAAAACTACGTACTATGTATAATGTTTTTTTTAAATCTAAATCAATTAATCTTCTTAAAGAATACATAATAATGCATATAAATAAAATAAGTATCCATGTCGCGTTGATCACTTGTGGAGTTTCACTTGTTAAAAGTTTTTAGCACTTTAATTTGTAAAATAATCACATAAAAACATAATAATTTTAGTTTGTTACAACATGTGTTTGGTAAAATTGAAATGAAAATTAATGTACTATTTTGAATTTGAATATATAGTTTTAAAAAAGTCACATGCATGGAAAGTGACAAGAAGGAAGGAAGAAAAATTAAATAACTTTAAAAAAATTCAAATTACTATACTTTTCTTTATATGTAGTATTCTTAAACAATTAAATGAATTTATGTAGTTCAAAAGTGTTTTAAGGTGGTAAAAATGTAATTAAGATGTCGGCTTAAGTTTAATAGTGAAATATTTTAATAAAATAATATAAAAATATTGATTTTCCGAAATTTGTCTCATATAGTAAGCCAAAGATCTAGTCCTTTGATAGATGGGAAAAAGTCTAAAAAAGGAATGAAACATAGTTAAAAACATATCAAAATAAGAGTTTTGTTTTTTTTCAAAATAGAAGTTAAAATGTACACACAATGTCAATCATGCCAATGTATAATACCAAAAAGTATAGTGGAATGTCCATATACCGAGCTGTGATACTATAGTGTTAACTCATATTTTGAAGATAAAAATATAAAATTCTATTTCAATACTTTCTTTATATTTTACTTCTATTTAGAGAGTTTTCTTTTGAGTTATTAAAAAATCATTCTTTAATTAGATTGGCGCGTATCATTTAAAAAAGTCCAAAGGACCGTCAATTTGTCAAACTCTCATTCGTTGAGAGTAAATTCTTTTGTGATCTTAAGGTTCACACTTATTTCATGAACATTTGTATATTAATAGTATAAAAAATCTGGGACCTTTATTAAAAAGTCTATTATTGATTATAAAAAAAAGTGAGAAAATTCATATTTCAATCTTAGGACTACAAAAGCACGACTCATATTAAAGGACTATATACTCTTTGCTTTATACAATTATATGTGTTAAAAAACCTTTACATTTTTTATGTTTGTCCAAAAAAATCTCCAACTTTTCACACTTAAAAAAAAAAGAGCAACTCATACGATTTTTCATTGATCTACACTACTTCAACAACACAAATATACTTTTCTTAAATTTTACATAGTTAGGTGGGTTATTTATTAGTGTCAAATGGGGATTGACCTTGGAACTTGAAGCTTCAGCCTCTAACACCCGACCAAGTCAACCCGGTTGGCCTTTAATTTGCCCCCACCGGTTTTATCTACCTGTCTCTAAAGTCTAAAATAACAATTTCTTGTGTGATAAGAAAACGGTAGTCCCTATATAATACTCCTTCAATCCTATACTTTTTTATTTTGTTTGATTTCACATGACATTTAATAAAATAGAATGTATGTGGTTGTGGTTGTGGTTGTAGAGGAATTATATAGACCACAAACCTTTTTACAAGTACTTAAAAGGTGGCTTGGAATTGTATAGGGGAAAAATCAATGATAAAGGTCATATACTCTTTGTGTCCTAAAACGTTCTTCCAGTTACTATTCATACGGTTAAATTTTAATTATTTTTTTACCTATTTTTGTTGGTAATTTGATAAAATAATATAGTTTTGTCACCTTTTATTTTGTAGAATTTTTTATGTAATTTTTGAATATATAAATTTTATTTTTAAATTTTACACCTAGAATTAAATAATTGAACTGAAAATAAAATTGGTCAAATTTCGTAAATAGAAACGGAAAGAACATTTTAAAATGGAGGGAGTAACTTTTTTTTAAAGTAAAAACAAATAAAACTTTAGAACAACCTAAATAGCAGTGTGAAGAGACGGGGAGAACATTCCGTTCTCCGTATCTTCTGCATATATTTTCAACTAGTACTCTGACCCGTGCCACGCACGGGGTTGAACAAAAATTTGTTTTATCCTACAATTTTTATAAAATACTATTCTTTTGGATTGTAACTTTTAGAGATTATTTGGTTGAGAGATAAATAATTTTTCCAAAAACTTCAAAATCTAATTTTTTATGTTTGGTTATATAAGTGGTATGAAATCAGTTTTTAAGGAAAAAAATTTTCCAAGAGGGGAAAATAATTTACGTTTTCTTTGGATGAATGTTCATGTTCTTTCTAACTCTTCGGGTTTTCTCATTCTACAAACGAATCAAGGAACTCTCTTCACCCCGTCCTCCATCCCCTCCCCTAAATCTCACAGAATGGAGCTCTATAATAGAGATTTGGTGCGGATTGTGTGTAAAAAGCTAATCATGCTATCTAAAATATTTTAAAATTGTTTCATACTCCGTATTATGCACATTCGTTTTTTATTCAGACATCTACAACGTTTTATTTCTAGAAAATTTCCTTCCTAACAAATTACAAAAATTTTTGTTAGAGAAAAACTTATGCCTACCAAAAAAATGTTTGAAAATTGTTCAAAACATATTAATATTTATATTGTTTTATTAGATGACATAAAAATCTCAGTATATTATCTGTGAGAATTTATCCTCATTTACAAGTGAAAAATAAAGTAATTCAAATGAAAATATTTAAAATCAGTTTTTTCATATTAAGAATGGTATATCAAAATATATATTATGCGTTCAAAACATCTAATCCAAATTCTCGTGTTTATGTTTATTTTGAATGATTTTCACACAAACCAACCCACATTTTATAAAAGATCCTTTTAAAACATTCAATTTTCATGTGTTTGGTGACATTAGTTGAAGGAAAATATTTCCTACAAAATAATGGATTATATGATTGAAGAATAATTTTCCTTAGAATTATTTTTCTTTGGAAAATATTTTTCAAAGAAAATATTTTACCCCCAACCAAACACAACCTAAATCTAATTTTATTTCACAAAGTAAAAGTTTTGTTAAATAAAATACGGAGGACAACTTTTCTACCATTTTTATATATAAGATACAACTTTTTTACCAATTTTAATTTATTCTATCAATTCTAATTTGTGAATTTGAGTATCTTTTTAAAAAAAATGTTACATCAATATTTCAAGACTGAATTTTTTTGTGCAGTTTATAAATTAATTTATAGAGTACTTCTTTGGTGCACCTTGGATGCATATCATTTTTGTGAACAATTTCACATAAAAAAAATCATTTTTTAATTAGAAAAAAAGATACTTATTTTAGTATTAAGGAGAAGTTTATATTGTTCATATATAAGTCCATGGTGAACCTTAGGTCTACTTTAGAATTTGCCTAATTTATAATATATTAAATTATTAGCGGAGTTAATCATCATATGTCATGTATGAATTTATCACTTATTTGACATTTTGACTTAAAAAAAGATTATGTATTTTATTTTATCTCAAAGTACTTATTTTTGTGTAATTCTTTCAAACCGAAATGAGGCTTGCGCCTCATTCCCCACCTCGAGGCATTTTGATCCACCCTAAACCTTGGACGGGAGTATAGTATTTATTGAAGTTGGCAAATTCTTACATCCTAAGATTCATATTTATTTTATAGACTTTAGTGTATTGATATTATAAAAAATTGGATCTTTTTACAAACAAAAAAATAACTAATCCATTTGTGAGCCCATGAAGAGTGGGAAAAGGTCCCCGTTTCACATGTGGACCTTAGGTCATGGAAAAACAACTCTATTAAGTTTTTGGTTAATAAATAATGAACCAATTGAGGAAATAACAAAGGCTCATAGATTCAAGGATGCATGCATTCTATATTTAGCAATTATTAGTGTGTTGCTCCATAACCTCATATATAGCCACACAATCTTGGTCATTCATATTATCAAACTCGTCAATACAAACAACCCTTCTATCAGCAAGAACCATGACACCAATATTGGAAACCACTACTTGTTTTCAACAAAATGCTCAAAAAGAAAACTCCCATCATCAAGTGTTATGGAAGGTGAAGCATAACACCCGAAAGATTAACATAAACAATAATTGAATGAATGCTAAATATGCATATCACACCAAATGTAATTATAAAATCATTAGATGCAAGTTCAATATTAGCAAAAATGATTTCAAGTAAATGAGAAGCCAAACCCGTTGAGAAATCACACACTGAAGGTAAAGCAAAGGAATCAAAATCTTGTGAATGCCTTAAATTAAAAATTATGCAATAAATTAAATAAATCAAATTAGAATTGTCAAATAAAAGTATGAACATCTGAATTTTAAACTCTATCGTGTGTGTATTTTTATTTTCAAAGGGATGAAGACATTTTGATGTCTATGACGCTGATATGAAAAGGTTGAGCCTTTCAACACACATGTTTTGCACACACCAAAAACAGGAACAAACGCATGAAAACATGATACAGAAACAAACACATGAAAAAGATTCCAAAAATCTGCCGTGTACTTTTAGTCATGTACTTCTAATCCTCAATGAAAAATTTTTACATTAAACTTCTAATCTTCTATGAAAAACAAAAACATTACACGATACATTTAAACATTTACATGTACTTCTAATCCTCAATGAAAAACAGAAACAAACACATATAAAGATTCCAAAAATCTGCTCTAATCTCATTAACATGGTACATTTAAACATTATGACTGGGGCACAACTACGTCTGAATTAGCACATATATAAACATGGAGGTATAATAGGAATCAATTACAATTGAAATAACGATAATCTGGATTAGTGTAGGTATAAACATGAAAAAATCTACAAACATATATGAAGACTTACTCGTTGGAGTGATTTTAGACAATGGATGGGTGGTCTTCGACATGTATGGTCCAAAAAAGAAGTACGAATCTCAAGAAAAAATATGCTTAGGGGGTGTGGTGGGTTGTTCTTGAGGAGAATGTATATATATGTAGAATATCACTCTTAGAAA